TGGCATAATATATCTAATCAAAGATATATACATGTTATGTGTGTGTGTGTATACACACACACTCACACACACACACACACACACATATATATATATGTATATCTATATATTTATATTCATATGTGTATATAAACACACACACACACACACACACACACACACACACACACACACACACATATATATATATATATATATATATATATATATATATATATATATATATATATATATATATATATATATATATATATATATATATATATATATATATATATATATATATATATATATATATATATATATATATATATATATATATATATATGTGTGTGTGTGTGTGTGTGTGTGTGTGTGTGTGTGTGTGTGTATGTGTATATATGTACGTATATATAATATATATATATATATATATATATATATATATATATATATATATATATATATATATATATGTTTAACATATATACATATATATATATATATATATATATATATATATATATATATATATATATATATATATATATATATATATATATATATATATATATATATATATATATATATATATATATATATATATATATATATACATATATATATATATATATATTATATTATATATATATATATATATATATATATATATATATATATATATATATATATATATATATATATATATATATATATATATATATATATATATGCACACACACACACATACACGCACACACACACACACGTGTGTATGTGTGTGTGTGTGTGGTGTGTGTGTGTGTGTGTGTGTATGTGTGTGTGTGGTGTGTGTGTGTTTGTATCTATGTATATACATGCACATACACACACACACACACACGCACACAAAACACACCCACACCCACAAACACACACACACACACACAAACGCACATACACACACATATATATATATATATATATATATATATATATATATATATATATATATATATATATATATATATATATATATATATTTAGACAGGTCTGAAGAATCCACGGTATCGAAATCCGTAAGACTCATAACCTCACTAAATAACACGTAAATTTGATACTTCGCTACAGAACCGACAACCAGACCGCGCTCAGCCCCACACCAGCCGAAGACAGTGTTCACTTCTGCCAACAATAATCATACAAAATTAGATCTGTGTTTCATGTAACTCTAAAATAGGACACGGACACTTTGTCGATAAAGATTACTATGGATAGATATTCTTTGGAGCTCTTAATATCTAAGAGATGCGTTTAAGAGGATTAAGAGTAATAATGAGATGTAGTGATGGCTATGTACACAATAAAAACTCGAGACTTATTCAAATACCTCTTCAGCAACAACAAGTAAGGTCCCCCGGCACAAGGCATCGCTAAAAAAAAAAAAAAAAAAAAGAATGGACGGGCGTTACTGTTTCCATTCCCTGACACATCGGCAAAGGGATAAATAGGCAAGTCTACCCTGATAGAAAACGGAATAGAAAACGGAGTTCAAAAAAAGGGCGAAGGGTTATCCTTGTTCTGGCGTGTTCTTAGGAATAAAAAGAGGAATGAAGGAAAGGAATTAGAAGCGTAGGGGAAACTTAAATGGATTAAGACAAAGGGAAAAGGGGGACGTCACGCAAATAAGATGAAGTTAGAGAATTTATTCCACGCGCGATCGCGAGCGGGGATAACTTCTCCTGAACTAACTTTCTGTTTGCACTCGGCAAGACCAATTATCCCGCGCGTTGTTTTACATAAAAGATAGATAGATAGACGGATAGAATGGTAGATGGAAGGATAGATAAATAAATACAAATTGACGATCTTCCCATTTCTAGTTTGTACACAATCTCGGAATCCAATTTCCCGTAAGTGATCATTCCCCCTTTGGCCAAAACGCGGGACGACCCGATCCGAAAATAGCAAGAATATATATATATATATATATATATATATATATATATTTTAGTTTAAGCCAGTTACGTATTTACTCGCAAAATTCTAATTAGCGCGTGATTTAGACAGCACATTCACTCGCAAAATTCTAATGAGCGGGAAGTTTTTAGAGACGAACGGACAAATTTTCGCGCAGAAACATTTTCTCTCCGCGATTCGCTTTTGTCTACAAGGAACGCCGCCATTTTGTTTTCGTCGATTCGCGGTTAAAATAGTTTTGGAGTTTTTGAGAAAGAAAATATGAACAGAAACGTGAGAAAGGACAAAAAAGCGAAAGAGAGAAGAAATGTTAGAGAATAAAAGGCGCAGAAAGAGAGAGAGAAAAAGAAAGTGGGATATATTTAAACTTTAATGGATGGGGAACGATTTCTTTAGAGTTTTAGCGAAATTTCTTGGGCGCTAAAAATAGTGGAATTATGTGCAAAGGACGAATGGTCAACTATCGGAGAGGTCGACAATGAAGAAAAAAGTAGTAGTGAAGATGATTAGAATAAAAAAAGGAAAAGAAAAAAAGTAAAGAAAGGAAGAGATGGTAATGATAATGATGTATAGATAATGGTAATAATAATAGGAATAATAATGATAATAATAATATGTAATAATATATAATAGAACTAAAACTAAAAATAAAGATGAAATGAAAACTATGGTGATAATACTAATATTGATGATAATGAAATGTTGAAATAATAACAACAATAAAAATATTGATGATAATGGTGATAGGGATAATGATATAAAAATGGAGGAGGCAAAGGCAATAAAAATGTGGAAGGAAGTAAAAAGTGAAAGAAAAATGATGTACACACCAGGAACAAATAAATAAACAAGAATACTGATAACAAAAAAGAAAAAAAAATCCCTTGACCTGTGCCACCCGCAGAAACCCCCCCAACCCCCCTCTGTGCCCGGACCCGCCGCCGCAAGCACTCCGACGCACGCAATTGCACGCAGCTGTCCCGTGGTCGCCCCCCCCCCCCCCGTGGCGCCGAGCATCACGCCAGGCGACGCGCGGGCCACGTCGAGGGCGCCTCCCGCCCCCCCCGCCTCCAGCCCCACACCAGGCGGGCGCTGGAGGCCGTGGGCGTCAGCGCTGGCTAACCACGCCCGTGCCATGATGGAGCATCCACGCCCATTCTCCGTCCCCGCCCACGCCCGCCCGCACGCCTCAAATGCCGGGAGGAAGGTGATGTGTGGCGGGAGAAACGAACTTTCAAGAATCGAAGAACGGATGTTGACCGAAACGCATTTTTTTTTCCTTATAGAAACGATTTTCTTTTTTGGAGCTTATGGATACGAGAGACCTAAAAAAACAATATTTATACAAACAATATATATTTCATGTATATATCCGAGTTTTAAAAGTGAGTTTATGACTAGCGGTATTCACTATATGGTCATTATAAATGGAGGATAATATAACTGCATATATTGACTGACAGTCCCCAGTGCAACAGCCGTTACACCTATATGAATATCGGGTACATTATTATCATCATTTATTTTATTTTTTAAATCTTAGCGTCCGACATATGCGGGCTTCCACGATGGGCAAAGCTAAACACACACATAGATTAGCTACATAGTGCTTATTCACAAATATTACTCATTCAGGATACTATCTCATCAACATCATTAATATGTACAACTTTTTAAAGCTATTAACAAGTTTGAACGTCACAATAATGTTTTATTTTTTCTCCAAATGTACATGGCCATATTCCAGGACTGGCCTCAGTACTAGTTACGCTGGAAACATACATTATGTTAAGATATATATGTATATACAGTACACACAAATACACCTTGATGTGTAAGTGATCATTACTTAACTTACAGAAAAGTGTATTTGATGAAACACCGAAGAGATGTTTTTAATTCTTTTTTTGTGCAGTTATATTCTGTACGTTATTATATATTCTTTCATTCGCATTCCCTTGAGAGTCAAAGAAACGAACTGAACAACGTGGCTAACTATTCAGGCCTGCATTAGGTGAACAACAATAAATAATAAAATAATTATCCGAAACTATACTATACCAACCTCGTGAGCAGACGCCCACCTCCGCCAAGTGCACGGCGTCACTCACGTTTTTTTCCTTGAAACTAAACCCATCTATTTTACCTTGACTATGTCTCGTGCCACGCTAATCCTCATGGCTGACAGTCTTAAGGTTAGTTTTACTACTAGCTGGGACACTAGTGCAGGTGACTAGTACCGCATCATTGAGATCAATAAGACGACCTCTTGCGTATGTGTAACACGACAATCACGTCCTCCCTAAATGCAATCAAAAATATTCTTTCCCACGATTTTCTTGCGTTATCATTATTTTTCTTATATACGATGACTGTCTCACGAACAAATCGAAGAGTTTTTTTTTTTTAAACATCAATTGCCATTATCACATAAAAGGTTGAGCTCAAGAAAGCAGGAGTTCTTGAGGCAAATCTCAGAATAAGGCCATAAGATCCTATGCAAAGACATCTAAAGACTAGCGCCGACAAATTACTATTGGTACAGGTAAACTGGAAGTACGGTTGCTATTGGCTAAACAGTCAGGGTTACAGTTTTGACGTGGTGAAACGTGGTGGGATGTGATTGGCTCTTTGGGACTTAGATCGGTAGCTATTGGTTGAGACAACGATGCGTGGCTATGACGTGGCAAAACGTGATTGGCTTTCCAGGTTTAAATATAAGATCTATTTTACTGAACACGACAGATTTCAGGAGATGGTGGTCCAGCGTGGCTCTACGTTCAGCTCTGAAAGAAAAGCAAAACGAAAGAGAAATCAATATGGTTGCACTGCTAATGATGAATCTGATTAAGTTATATAGACAACGGATTATAAATATCTTCATAATGGCACTAATACACATACAGGTAAAAAAACGGGGGCAAATAGCTCCACATATAATACAAATACATATATTCAGATCCCCTTCCGAACGCCAAATAACCGGCGACTGAGAGAACACCTTCCTCCCCTCCAAAGCAAAGCCAGAGGCCCTCCCTCCCTCACCTGCTGGCCGGAGGGTC